GGAAGGAAGGAAAGAAGGAAGGGAGGGAGGTACGAAGAAGGAAAGAAGGAAGGGGGGGGAGGAGGGAGGGAGGAATGAAGTAAGGAAGGAAGGAAAGAGGGGAGAGGAGAGAAAAAAAAAGAAAAGTAAGACAGAAGAGAGCAAGAAGAAGGAAGAAGAAAAAGGAGAGACGAGTGGCGAAGAACGGATGAGAGTGGGAAGAGAAGAAAACCGAGAGAAAAGGGGAAGAAAGGTAGGTGAGAAAAAAAATCACAAAACAGGGAAGAGGGAAAGAAGCGACAACGGTAGAGCCGAAAAGGAAAGAAAGAAATGAAGAGAAAAGACCCAAGCACCTCATCATACACACATAAATCACCCTTTCGGAAATTCCACAACTGAACGAAGAGAATAAAATTTAAAAAAAGAAGGGTAAAGCATAATGTTTGAATTGTCACGACCATTGCTTAAATACGACACTCGTCTGCCCCTCCCCATCCTCCCCACCACCCCATCCCTCCTATCCCCCCTCCCTCCCCCTCCCCCCCCTCCCCACCACCCCCTCCCTCACCCTCCCCCACCCCTCCCCTACCCCCTCCTTCTCCCACGCCTCAAAAAGTGCTACGCCAACACCCCATCCACTACAGCGACAGCATATGCGAACCATTAAGACGAAAATATTGTCTATCGCTGAAAAGTGTGACGCGGGAGGTGGGGGAGGGAGGGTCGGGACTGGGGAGTGGGGGGAGGGAGGGACGGGACTGGGGAGGTGGGGCAGGTGGGGGCTGTAGGAGGGAGAAGGAGGGAGTAAAGGATAATACTCAGTGTACCAACGGTCAGTGTAATTCAGTTATACGAGTGGTCTCCCAGCCAACCCTGGCCAATAACCGAGGTGTAAGGCCATTTGAATACGACGCCATATTGCCTTGTATTCATGACTAACGAGATGGGAGGATGGGGAGGTGGAGGTGGAGGTGGAGGTGGAGGTGGAGGGGAGGGGAGGGGGAGGGGAGGGGGAGGGGGAGGTGGAGGTAGGGAGGGATGGGGGGGATAGGAGGAGGGGGAGTGGAGGGGAGGGGGATGAGGGAGGGGGGAGGGGTGGGGAGTGTTTGAATGATATCAATACGTGTAAATATACTTTTGGTTGTATATCCAACATGGCTTGAAGATGACGCTTTCTTAAATCATTCCCGCGGGAGTAAACTGAGGTATTTATTTACAGAAGAAAACAAAAAAAAAAAAACACTCGATTAGAAACTGAAATATGTTATTTGCGTTGAAAAAAAAACATAATATTATTATGTCTTTACAAATAACCGCAAAAACCATTTGATTTGATAACAGACCCTTCAAAAAAAAAATTTAAAAAAAAAATCACCGTTATGTCTCCTTCCTTCTGTTGCCTAATCAAAAAAAAAAAAAAAAAAAAATGCAAATGGGTAAGACGCTGTGTAACATGATGAACAGTTCATCCAGTTCCCGGGATTAGAAAACAAGGGCTTTAGGAGTTTTTCTTTCTTACCGAAAAGGAAAAAATTATAAGCCAGACATTTGCGTAACACAACGAGCGTTTTCCCTCGGCTTTGTTGCACGAACGCTTGGCTGGATTATTTTATTATCATTAAAAGAGGCGGAGAAAAAGGGATGATGATGATATGTGAGAGAGAGAGAGAGAGAGAGAGAGAGAGAGAGAGAGAGAGAGAGAGAGAGAGAGAGAGAGAGAGAGAGAGAGAGAGAGAGAGAGAGAGAGAGAGAGAGATGCGAAAAAAAAAAATTCCACAAACGCAAATTTCGATTTTCTCGTGAAAAAAAAAAACAACTGAACTGACGATGAATTAAAAGGCTACCGATGGCATAGAAACTGGCATTGAAGGGATAAGAAGAACAAATAACAAAGAACATATTCCCTAGGGGGTGGAGGATACAAGAATAAATATCTTAGAACATATTTCAAGGACCTAACTTCGGGTGTACATAATTTCGAAGGTAAACAAGATACACCAAAATTGAGAAGAGGGGAAATAATCAGAAAAAAAACATAAATAAACCTAAAACAAAAGAAGGAAAGAAGAAGAGGAATAAAACACAGAAAAAAAAATAAACCTAAAACGAAAGAAAGGAAGAAGAAGAAGAAGGGAAAAATAAAACACCAGGAAAAGAAAGAAAAAAACATAAATAAACCTAAAACGAAAGAAGAAAAGAAGAAGGAGGGGGAATAAAAACACCAGGAAAAAAAAAATAACCCTAAAACGAAAGAAAGGAAGAAGAAGAAGAAGGGAAAAATAAAACACCAGGAAAAGAAAAACAAAACAAACACCATAAATAAACCTAAACTAAGACACCTCACGAGCGGATTATGGGCGTGTTAGTGAAACAGAGCGCCGACTGGTACGAACCGTAGAGAGCGTCCTCACCTGCAGCGGGCCCCCGTGGCTTGGCCCCCAGGTAGGCGAGGTTCACGTTAGCCTTGCGACCGGCTCCTTGATTGGCACGGTCTTGCACCTGCCTTGTCTGCCATCGTGAC